GGCATCTTTCATTCTTCCCTCCCCATGGGAAGGGCTCTGTATGAATCCTCATTACTCCTTTCCCAAACCCGTAAGAGGCTGTGGAATGCCTACCTTTCCCTCTCCAGACACTAAGGTCCCTCATTTTCCCTTCACATTTCTGCAACTGTGTGCACTGACTCCTGCACTATCTGGGTGCAGGAGAGAAGTCATTCAGCTTGTCAATATATTAAAACCATCAATAGAATGATCAGGTTTATTATGCTAGAATGTGTTAATGGATACCATCAAGTAGTTCTTTGATCTGCGGAGGTGCTAAAAGCTATCAGACTCATTTATCCTCCATTTTCAGTTTTCCAAATTCCCTTAAAAAAATTAAAAGGATTCTGACCATTGATGCCTAGAACATTCCCTGAAATACTGGCATTGATTGAGTGCAACATTAAAAAAGCTTTATTACACACAATAATGCCACTGGATTGAATATAAAGGCCCATACAAGGTTGGTCAGAAATGTGTGAACTAAAAACTGGCACCAAAACCATAATAAGTGTGTAGATAAGATTCTGGCCTTTTAGAGATTTGTGCATCTGTCTGAGTCGGTCTGTTCAAGATCTCCTTCCAAACAGTAGGATCATCAAATTTGGGATGCAGCTTCCTCTTCTCCTAACTTAAGGAAGGCCAGGATTTGGTTATGAAAGAAAAACCAAAAGTGCTGGGAACAGGGCTGTTTTCCATAACATGGAAAAGGAGGAGCTGAACTGTTAGTATAGCATCCCTCCGAAGTGCCCACTGGAGGCAGCAAGCCTGAAAGGTAGAGGTATACTGTGGAGTGACCACAGGGGGCAGTCATACCACTAAGGAAGTGGCCAGCACAGTTGGGGCTCCACCATCTTGCATGTCACCAGCCCTGGTAAGTGGGAGACACCTCCACTGCTTCCCGTCCTGCCCGGGAGGAACCAAGAGGAAGGGAGAGAGGCCATGCCAGCCCCTGGGGTAGGGATGTTAAATATCAGTTAATTTAATAGTCAATTAACCTCATGAATTCTTATCAGTTACTTGACTATTGCATCCTCCCCAGGGGTGGGGCCTGCAGCCAGTGTGCTCTGGCAAGGTGGGAGCTGATCTGCAAGGGGAGCCAATTTGAAAGCCAGCTCCCCATGTGGGTTGGCTGCCTGTTGCCCACATACACTGTTGCCTCTGATATAAGCCAGCCCACTTTAAAAAAAAAAGTTTACTGACTGGGGGGAGGGGGGGGAAAAATGTGTGTCATCTATAGCGTTAACCAATAAGCAAAAGCTTATTGGTTTAATTGACTACAATATCACATCCCTATCCAGCAAAAAGCCTGTGGGTAGGGTGCATAATCCCCACTGGCAAGGGCTGCCCCCGAGCAGAAGCCAGCCCCACCCCAAGCCCAGCCTCACTCCAACCTTTACTGCAGCCCCCTGTCCCCACACACCATTTCTGTTTCAAAGGCATAAATTCATAGTGTCTAGATAACTGCATCTACCTTCATGCTCCAAGTCAGGACTTCATCAAAAGAAGCTTAACATAGCATCCTACAAAGTATTTTTCTACCTAGCATTTATAAAATGAAAGCAATGGAGTTCACATACACCCACCCCCCGGAAGATATTAAAATAATTTGGGCTAATGAATTAAAACTAGCAAGTGGAACTCATTCTACTAGTCTAATAGATGTCCAAATTAAATGAACCAAAGAAAACCAAATGGCTAACAAAAGTTAGAATTTTACATTCCAATCAATTTGCTAGTCTTATTAGCAGCATAACTATTTTAAAAAATTGAAAGCAAGGACGATAAGTAGAATCTATTCAATAAAGAATATTACTTGCAAACAGAAAATTTGAAAGTAATTTTACAAATCTACATCTCCTTTTCACTCTTTTAGGCTTAAGGATTACTTACCCAAGCAGTATCTTTGCATACATCTCCTTGTTCATTCTAGTTTCCCGTTTTCGCAAAATCTCTGCATCATACCAAAAACCTCTCTCTTTTGGCTCATCAGGATTATAGTTGACCATCACCACTTGCCCTACTTCTAATTGGTGCCACTTCAAAACAGTCCGTGCCCGAGTACGTACATCTTTTGAACTCAGCTCTACAACTCCATTCTCTGGGTAGCATT